TATAAGACTGAATAGGAAGCTGAAGAAAAAGGTCATGGCTAGGAATTGTACCATTATTTCCAGATTGCTTTCATATATTGATCTCCTACTTTAACACAACGTTGTTCCATTATTTTGCAGATTGCTGCTGCTTGGAAGCCTTTGATAAAGAGGCTTGGACTCTGGAAATCTGTCCGTTCCATTGCCCGACTCTATGATGCTGGGATGGGAATGGTTATCTTCATCCCTGTCGCATTCGTTTCATGGTTCCCATTTGTATCGACATTCCAAACCCGTCTCATGTTCAACCAAGCCTTCAGCCGAGGTCTGGAAATTTCCCTCATTCTTTCTGGAAACAACCAGAACACTGGGATATGATCACAATCAGACTATTCGGAATCTTGTAAATGAGAGTTGCTCCATGTTTACTGATTTGTTAGGAGAGTTTAGTATTAGTGTGAATTTTTTTGATCGGACAAACCTATCGAGAATTTGTTGTACTCGGATTTTTCCCCAGATGAGCATGAGCTTTGTGAATAACTACTGTATCATTTATTGTAATATATGCCAGGCCTGGGAGTTAAATTAATTAGTGACCTTATTGAAGCTTGTTTGTTGTATCAAAACAGTTCACGGGATCATTTCAACATATATATTTTATCGCGTAATTTTGGCTCTTTTGAGTAATATTATGATTTTCAGGGTACATGTATTGACAGAAGAAAGAATCTCCAGTTTTGGGAGCGATTATTGAATTCACCAGACTTCTTTTTTCAATTTTCAGATTGGATTGTTACATGTTTGTGCCAATATTTCAAGTTAAAAATTAGTGATCGTTATTGAAATATATGATTTGTTGGATGTTGGGACTGTTTATATACTTTAATAAGAGTTAATAACATTAATCCCTTGAGGTATAATATATCACCATAAGGTTTTGGGAATAGCATAAATCTCTTTGTCGTTAAGTTGTAAGTGTCAGAAACTTATAACAATGTAAATTTTAAAAGTTCATTAATTGTAACTTGTAAGTGAATTTCTGTTATTTCAAAAACTTCAAGATAATTTATATGATAGAAAGATGGTCATTGAATTTTTTTTTATTTTTTATTTTTTATTTTTTTTGAAGAGTTAAAAACAAATATAGATGAAAAAACGTAGACATAATTATTTAGCGTTTTTAATTTACAGTAATTCAATATCTATAGAAGAGAAGTCAAATGTGGTTAATTTCATTGTTTTAAAACCCAACCCGGGGTGAAATCCGACAAAGTGGTTGGGCCTTAGATTGACCGGTTTAATCAATTTGATCGGCAAGTCAAACCGGTTTTCAAAGGTTTGAAATCTAACAAAAATATTCTTGAAAATATGTAAGTCTATGTAGGTTTGAAATATTGCAAAAATACCCCAAACATGACCGTCGACGTCAGTAAATAGGGCATGTTTCCGATGACAACAACACTCTCCTTCACCACGAAAACACTCCCCTCAACCTCTTGACCAAAACCCATCTCACCTCTCCCTCGATCACCTCCCTAATTGCCGGGAACATCGGGCTTTTTCCGACAACATAATTTTGCAATTTCTAGTTGATTTACTCATCGGAAATCACAGCCGTTGCCACCATTGTAGTCATCAACCATTCCTCTTCAAAAACCTTAACATTCCAACCTTAATTATTCAAGGATTGATGTCCTAATTTCTAGGGTTTTCGATGAATAGGAAATTTTATAACCCGACTTGGTGAAGGCCTTAAGTCCTGATTCAACCAGTCGGGCCGGGTCGAGTTTTAAAACACTAGTTAATTGTACATGAACTCAACAACTTCTAAACCGATGAAATTAATAATGAATTGATTGTTATAAATTTGAGTTGATATAGACTAATCTATGAAAAATTATAATGTTTGTGATTAAACATGTTATAGATATTACTTAGATTATAAACTACTTCCGTTTGTGGCATATGTTTACGCATATGACTTGGATTATAAGAAATATGAAATTCCGTTGTACATATCTAAATTACTGAAAATATTTGAAAATTGTTACATATATAAATGATAATTAAGAAATTTTCAATCTCGTTTTGTGCTTCGGATTTTAAAACTAGAATCCTCTTCAAATCTTATAATCCTTGAAAAGTGGAAAACAATAGTATTTTTGTCAACTACCACTTGGAGGCCTATGTTAAAAAAACAAAAGGAGGTGTCATGAGTTCTTGAGTTCGAGTCATTTCAGACACTAATAGGGGTGACCACTGATGTCCTTACTCGGCCGACAGTTTCAGGGCTCTAGGGGATTAGTTGAGATAGGGACGGATCCAGCCCTTTGGCCTACCCTCATATTTAAAAAAAAAAAAAAAAAAATTATTAATATATATAGACCCACAAAAAATTGTTATTAATATATATACTTAGGCTTACCATCAGATTTTTTTAAAATGAGAACTATAATACATATATCTAGGTCCACAAAAAACTTGTTATTAATATATATATATTTTAAACCTACATCATATGAAAAGTTTAAAACTTTTTCCACTCTTTTTCTCCACAGCTCCTCCTATTTTTTATGATTTTATCCCCAAAATTTTTTGCTTTCTCATTTTTTTCACGCTATTTGCTCTTAAAACTTTTGAAGACTAAAATTGTTGAAGCTTTCACTACTCAAGGTACCACAATTAGCTTCGTTTTTTATTTTATCAGTTTTATGTATGTGTATTGCTCATTTCAATTTAGTTTATTTTGGGGTTGCATCATGCTTATTTTTTTGGAGGCTTTTTATTATACTTCGAGGGAAAAAAGACATGGATCTTGTGAGTTTATTTTGTATTTTGTGTCTAAGAATGAACTTACTTTTTCAAATTAAAACATTAACTATATTTTAAAGGACATTATTCTTCACCCTTCACCTACCATTTTTCTACATTTAAAACATCATTGTTTAGCTGCTCAAAATTATTAAAAAAATTTGAGTTATTATCTATGTTTACACCAAAAAAATCCTCCATTGTTTTTTATTAATTCATATTAAAAGTCAACATAACGTTGATTTGATTTAAGTTTTCGTTGATTTTAGCTTAAGTTAGGTCAGATCAAAGTTATGAAAATTTATATTAAAATCATTGGAAGCCAAAAATTAAAAATTAAAAAAATTAAAAGAAGGTTTTGCTTAAGGTTTATTCAACACATTTACTTAAAATTTTGCTTTTCATAGATTTATTCAAATAGAAAATTATTGTGTTATTGCATTATTTTCTCTTAGGTTCTTGATAATAATTTTTTAAAGTTTTTATTAGTTATTTGACAAACAATGACGGAGTCGTAAAGACCCTTCCTAGGCAAAAACCCTGGATCCGACATTGAGTTGAGGTACACATAAGCTGACCTAAATACTCCCGGTTATTAAAAAAAAAAAAAGTAGTATTTTTGTCATGGTTAGATTCCTAAGTCAAATCTTGTGGAAACAAAGTGCATGCCTAATAATGAAATGTGAAAACACATTTGTTGTTGTTGATTAGGTAAAAGAGAATCACATGGGTTGAATGAGGCATATCACATGAGTTTAACATTAGCCATTCATTAGGAGAAACTAAATGTCAAAATTATTGAATCTTAAGACTTATATTTTAGTTAGTTAAGTTTCACATTCACCGCTCACAAGATTTTACTACTCTTTTTATAAGAGTATACATATATATATATATATATATATATATCGAAACCCAATTTTAGGTTGGCTCGGAATATACATATTTTTTTGGGTAATTAGCTCAGAATATATTAAAATAAAAATTATACTTAATTAAGTTAATACTTCCTATTGAGACTAGTCCTTGACAATATGAAATTATAGTTGGGTGTCTTTATCGTACTTTATATTATTCCGTTGAAAGGTCAAAATATAATTGGGAAGAATATATTCTTTTGAAATAAGTAATGAAAATTTTCTTTCTTTCAACTATATTTTTTAATTACCCTTGAATGCTTCAAAATTTTGTATTACAAATTCAACTAATTAATTGAAATTATAGTAGCTTGACTCTATTTTTATGTCAAAAATTGACATTGACCAACTTTTGGTAATATGTTTTGGTTAATATTAGTTATGCTATTTTACAAGTTTCCATTAAATATATCAATAATAATAAAATAAAATAAAATCAATCACCATCTCAAATTTACATCTTTAAATAATCTGTCATTAGTAGTAAATTAACGTACACAATGAAATAATTTGACGAATGAATACAAATTCTCTTATCAAATTATAATTTTAGAATATATCATTTACTTCAAAACTCTCATCGATGAAACCTTAAAAGGCTTAAGTCTTAACATTTTGACTGTATTAAAAATAATGTTTGATCAACGAAACAATATTACAACCTTCTTTCACAATCTACGACATAAAAACTCACTATTGATCAACTAACAAAATAGGTCACAACTAATTATATAGCTCATGTATATACATTTACGAACTAATCAATGACAAACTGTCATGTTGAGATTATGAGAGAAGGTTATGAATCTAACATTATTATTGTATTATTTAATGTGCTTATTAGGATAATGTTATATATCTCATTGTTAGATATTTAATATCTTTCGATATAAACTATGAGTTATATGTTTTTTATGGTTTTATTCATAAAAGTAATAAAATTCACGTATAATTTATGTGATAAATATAAAAATTTTGATCATTAATAAAAAAATAATTTTTCTCAATAATTGTATTATCTTTTAAGAAAGTCGATATAAAATTTCTCAATTAGGTAATTGTGCAATTAACGCAACCAAACCGACTTTCTCCCCAACCGATTCCATCTCCCCACGTAATACCCTTTGTCCTACTCCTTCTCTAACACGTACTTTCAATCTCAACCCTCCATTACTCATCAACACCATCTAGCCGTCAATCCCATCTCGACCCCCACTATATAAACTTCTCTCACCGTTCTGTTTCGTTCTTAGCAAAACATCAACAAATCAGGGGACTTTCAGATCTAAAAGAGCAAAAAAACAATTATTTTGAAACAAAAATTCATCTCAAATTTACCTCCAAATAAGAGCAAAATCAAATTACCATTAGAATTAGGGTTGGGGTTAGGGTTTGAATTTGGAGATTTCACTTAATCAATGAACGATCAGCAAACACAGATGATGATTAATCAAGCTAAGATCGTGAATCACCTTCCTCCGCCGCTTCCTCCGCCGCAGCAGGTAACGTGTCGATTTCTTAACTGTCTTGGTTGTGATGTTTGTTATAGTGGGTATTATCAATCTTACGAGACGATGAGTTGGGATTCTTTTCAGGTGATGAATCAGCAGCCTCAATTGCCGGTTCCATCTCAGCCGTTGATCTTGAATCGTGGCTACGTTGGTAACAGTAATAATAATCTTAATAATAGTAATAATAATAAACTGAAGCCTTGGCAGACTCTGCAGCAAAACCCTAGCAAGATTGGTAATTTTGGTGTGTCTAAACCGAGGAGTAGTAATAATAATAATAATAATAATAATAACTGGAAGGGGAAGAAGATGAAACAGAGTGTTGGTCAGGGTAGTACTCAAGGGTACAACCCTCCAACGCTTCATGAATTGCAGTCACAGAACCGTCAGAAGACAAGGAAGTTTTACCCCAATAAGAAGAAGTTTAATAATAATGGGAATAATAACAATAGGTTTGCTCCATATGCTCCGCGTAATACTACTTCTTTTATTATTAGAGCTAAGAAGTCTGGTGGGATTGCTTCTTTGGTTTCTCCGTGCCCTGTGACGCCGGCGGTCTTGCCAACTCCGATATTTTCACCCTCAAGGGAGGTGTTGGGTGACATGGCGAAAGAAGAGTGGGGAGTTGATGGGTATGGTTCAATGAAGGGTTTGATTAGGTTAAGATCGGGAAATGAACTTGAGAATGAGCACGATGAGGAAGATGACGATGATGCAAATGGGTCTAGTGAGAGCGATGTAGAGGAGCATGTTGAAGTTGAGAGGAGATTAGATCATGATTTGAGTCGTTTTGAAATGATTTATCCGAATTATAGTGGTAATAGTGCTGGTGGAGATTATAATAATGTTTTGGAGAATAGAGTGGATGATCAAGATAGTCATATTGCACAATTGGAGGAGGAGAACTTGACATTGAAAGAGAGGTTGTTTTTAATGGAGAGAGAGATGTCAGATATGAGGAGAAGGTTGCTATTTCTTGAGAGACAGAATTGTAATCATCGAAGTGGTGTGGGTGGGGAAGATGTTAATGAGGAGGTGGTGGAAAATGAGTCAGAGAATGAAAGTGAAAATGGTTCTGATGTTCGTGAGGGTAAAGAAGAGAATAATGAAGATGTTTGTATGGAAGATTGTGTACCTGATGACACGAAGAAAGAAGAAAAAGAGGAAAAGGCAATTAAGAATGAGTTTGTGAATGAAGGCATGATAGCAGAAGAGGATGGTCAAAGAAAGGTAGAAAAGGTGGATGATGAAATGTATGCAGAGGATGAATCTAAGAGAGAAGAGAAAGAAACTGGGAATGGAATTCAAGAAGGTGGAGTCGATGTAGTTGTGGAGAAAGAAAAGGGCAAGGATGGGCAAGGATGTGATTAGAAGAGCATTGATGGCAGGGACTAACGTGATTGTTCTGCCAGTATATGGGTTTGATAGTTATTTGGAATGTTTTGTGCAGCTAATGGATATATGGTTTCTATGTAGATGTAACATAGTTTCTGCTTCGTTTTTCTTTCATCTCTTATTTGTCTTACAGGGAAAGAGAGGAAGGCTGGACTGGTTCTCCATTCTTTGTCCTTGTTTGACTTAGGTAGTCAGTAGGCCATAGTTTCTTTCTTTCTCGCCTTTCTTTCTGGGTTTTATTTTTCTTTCTTTCTGGTAGGACAGTTGAGTTTGAGTTCTCTGTTAGAGACAAATATCTGTATGCCTGTTGAAATGTACAAGGTAAATCAATGAACTATTATGTACTGGAATTTCTTTTGCTTAATATCATCAAGATCTTTTCAATATGGTTATTGTTTTTGTTTTTTTACTTTTGGAAATACGTTTTATATGGGAATGAAGTACTTGTACTGATGGAAAAATATTTATGTTGTGGATCAATGTTTCTGGTATTTTATGTTTCTGTCTTTCTCATTGTTTACAATTCCATTAAGATCTTTTACTCCTCTGCCACAATTAAGTTCCTTTCTGCTATCTAATATGGATGTCCGTTAAATTGTCTTTGTGATAGTTCTGCAAGTTGTGAGCATGAGGAGAATGTGTTAACATCTTGCCAGTGTAAGTTCTAAACAGTTCAAACATGCTTGTCTTATAAACTTAAAGACAAGTGATTGATTTTTGTATCTATGCACTGTATCTTTATTAGTTATTCTGAACGCGATTTCAATTTCTTAGTTCCCAAATACTTTTGTTTTTCCTCGGTTCTTTTTTTGCTATAACATATGGCTATTAAGAATGTTTACCTGTTGGCACGAGGAAGGGAATGTGTATTTATATGCTTGACAAGTTTAAATTGAATTACACAAGTTGGATTCTTTCACAAGCTTGCTGTGTTTCTTTATATATGTGGATTCTGCATTGTGGATGCTTGTTTACTTGAAGTTTCTGGGCAACAAACAGAAGAGTTTCTTGAGCATTGCTGCTGTAGATTCTTTGAGCCGGTTGCTTGATCTGAAGGTCAGAGTGATGGCAGTCTATATCCACGATGGTTTTTATATTCTTCTTTAGTAAGTGGCCAACGTTTTGTTGTTTGTTGCAATTAATTACAACATTCGGCTGCAATTTCATGTATGTTGCTACTTGCATAGAAAACTGTGCTTTATAATTTCTCGTGTGATAGAATTAGTTGATATTGAAAAATCATAATAGTCGCCCACACTTGATAGCTGAAATCTCATGTTTGAATTCTTCAAAAAAGCGTAGTTATACCACACTATTGTAGTTTTATATAGCCCATATTTCTTAGCCATATCAGTCATCCAGGATGGCCCCCTTTTGATTTGTGGCTTTCATTATGCTTTAATCTAATTTTACGACTGATGTCAGTTATTGGAATTTTTTCTCCAAATGTTGATACTGAGGAATTGAATTACATTCTCTAAATGTCGACACTGAGAGATTGAAATTATGTGGTGGTATGTTTACAGGAATCAATGAAGAAGAAATCACAAGATCTTCTTGGTTAGTAGGCCAGTGGGCTGAGCACTTAAATTTGGAAGGCTTTGAAATTGGTTTGACAACTGAAGCGGTGTTTTCCCCAGATTTAGTATCCGCGTTTCATTTGGTTGCCTCGGTAAATCACCCTGTCAAAAGGTGATTTTTAGTGCTCAATATAGAATTCCCTAGTGGTTCCTTGGCCAAGAAGGGTTCCTGTTCTGTTCCTTGGTCAAGAAGGGTTCCTCTTCTGTTCCTTGGTCAAGAAGGGTTCAAATTTGTCAACTTGCATGAGGCTGAACCCTTATTTTATTTTGTTTTATTTTATTTTTGTGCCCTGAAAAAGATTTGAATCAACCTCCTTTGGTTTCTATGGTTTCAAAAATTAATCAGTTGATTTGCGACTATTGACCGTAACAACATGAGACATAATTCCCCTGAGTGATTGACCAAAACATCTTTCATATGAACTCGAAGAGTAGTTAAATTAATTACATGTATACACTTTATATCATAGAATCATGGAATTTACTTTTGCTTTGAACCATCGGTTCGCACATGCACAAAGAGAATATTGTTGTATCCTCTGCTGATTCTGATCTTGTCATCACTATATCTGCATTATACATTTAACATACATGAGCTGAGCATAAAATAATCAGTATTGCCACAGATCCAAGAGTTAAAAGATCTTACAGCAGCTCCAGATCCATCTTTGTTTCCATCTCTACAGGATACCCAAATGGCCCAGCGATAATGGCTGCATCATCCATGGTGACATTGTATGTGTTGGCGCTGGCTCTCCTGGCAATGAGGAGCCCTAAATCAGATTAGCTTCTGCAATGGTTTGCCTGGTATGCTCAATACAAACGTATGACATACGGGTTTTCCAGGTTCTGGGTGCTCGAGTTAAAACTGAGCTGGACTGTTGTCCGCTAAATCATTACTTAGATGTTAATGTTATTGGTTTGGTAATCTTATCAATGTGAAATTCCTTGCATGTTAATCTAATGATTCTTATAGATTCGATAATTTCATTGACGTGAAAGCAGCCGTCTCTAGATTCTAGAACAGCTGTGTTCTCCTGGTATAAGTTTGATTCTTTTTATGTCATTCCAAAAGAAAGATGCCCAACTGATTGGAATCATATAAACGCTTTTCCTCGAAATCCAACCTTTGATAAAGATTGGGTTCCTGAAATTACTGTTGTATATTCTCTCTTTTTGAGACCCCGTAGAATCAACTGGCATTACAACTCGAAACTATTTAGTTTAGTTATATTTTTGAAAATATTTTCAGATCACAAACCAAACATGGCCTTCGTTTAGGGTTTGTAACTTTTGACTGTTTCCAAACGTATACGTTAAGAGGTTATGAAGATGAATGAGAAACTTACACAAACTTGCCGGTCATGGAGAATCTGAACCCGAGTAAGATGTCAACGGCGAATTTAAGTTGTCCATCCTTCTTGACAATCTAAAAACATCAAGAGAATGAGAATATGAATTAATCGAATTGGTGTAATACAAAAATTAAAAGCAATAAGCAGTTTATGGCACCATCACTTCTACATCATAATGAAGACTTGAATCTCAGTCTCACCTGCTTGCCCATTAGACCATTGCCAGCATTCTCTAACCAACTATCTGTCTCTACCTTCAACACAAAAATAGGTTAAATTTACCTTACTATTTGAATATATACGCTTCTTCTAGATTGCATTATTACAAACTTATGTTTAGTTCGAATCTCGATACAAATATCAGTACTATTGTTACTAAATCAAGAAAGATCTTTGATTCATGCTAGAATGATTGTTCGAGTTAAAAGTTTTTAGGCACACCTGAGAACTCCATATCATCTGCCATTCTCCCTCAATGAGTTCTGGTTCATCTTTAGCTGTACTTTGATTCAAGGAGACAAACTCATCGATTGCCTGAATTGTTCATGAAAAGTTCCAGCAAGTAAAAATACATCAGCGATAAGAGAACCTCTTTTCGACAATGTTACTTAAATGATTGAATTTAGTCTTTTACCTCTCTAACTTGCGTTCCTGTCGAAATGGCTGCTAGTAGTCTTTGCCTTGATTCCGTTTTCTTTTGCAGCACAAATGTGGTGCCCTGCACTACAGAAACATTATTGGACGCGCTTAGAAAATTGACCTATTACTAACAGAGAAGGTGACAGCAAACTGGAGTGCTCAAATAGTACTTTGGTGGCAACAAAGTGTTTATTTACCTTATTTCCTCTTGATATCCGTAGATTTCCAGATGGCGACAAATATGTAGTGTCCAGCCAACCCTTTGCTTCATCACCAAGAAGCCTGAATGGCACCGGATAAGGAACCTTAAAAGGTAAAAATTTAAAAGAGAAGGCTGCTCTATCGAATCTGAAAAGGATTCTTTTTCCATCTTTGATCGACGCTTCTGCCTGTGTGTGGAAACAAAAAGAAAATGAAATGCATAATGCTGCAAAAGAAGGCAACATTAACTGCACAGGAACATAAAACTTGTGGATTCCCAATAACTCAAGGGATAGAATGAGTCAAGGTGAGGAAAGCCCAAGTAATGCTAATTTTTCTATTGAGACTTTTTCAAATTGAGGCAGGCAACTGAATCTAAAACTGGGAAATCTAACATTTTCCCCACTGGAAATGTTTAAATCAGCGAGAGACTTATCCTTCCAAGACAAAGTATAAATATCATCAACAAAGCAGAACCAACACAATGGGCTAATCATATGCAGGCGGAGAAACAGAGACCTTAGATGAAATGAGCAGGTAAATATGCATTGGTTAAGACAAGGTCGGTAACATTCTGGCTGGTTAATCAGGGTCATTTCTCAGTGATCCCAGTAGGCATAAGACATAGGAAAGTGTTTGTCAAGAAAAAACCAATTTATCTAGGATGCTACCTTGGAAGAGAACTAGGATATTACCTCTTTTTAACAGAAAAGATCCACAAGAAGCAAACTACATCCGCTCTGAGAAAGGGCTTTCCTCTAGGACAAAGTTAATTTTATTCATTTCTTGCATCCTAGAATACATATAGAGGGTCACCGTTTATGAATAAGATACAACTCCTATCTGATAAGGGCTTTCCTCTAGTACAAAGTTAATTCTATTCATTTCTTGAATCCTAGAATACATTTAGAGGGTCACCGTTTATGAATAAGATACAACTCCTATCTGATACTCATGAAGCGATTAGCAAGAATGCATCTTAATCAGGCATTTTCATCTTTCAAAAGAAACATCATCTCTCCCAACCTTTTTCCCACCCAACTTCAATTGAAAATGCGGAGAAAACATAAAGCAGGATTATTCAAGAGAGTTCTTCAATCAAAGTGACTGGAATGCCTCATACAAATAACACTCTGTCCAAGACCCAATTTGCCTACTAACTTAAATAACCAAAATCTAGATTCGAATTGGTTTTTGTAACCACAGACAAACAGATTTGCAGAGTTCTTGCAGCTAGCTACTTCTTATTACAAGATAACAAGAACATAGTCCTTGTACACAAAATTTACCAAGACTAATAACAGTTGTGAAAGTGAAGACAAATGTAGGATCATACCTCTACTTTTAGCTCACCTATTGCTTCAGAAAATTTTACAATATTCGATACACGCGGGTCATTTATCCGAAGGGATATCTCTTGAAATACACTAAAATTGTCAACCCCCACAAATGTTCTCTGCAATTACATACAAATGATGAATCCAACAAATAAAGAAATAAACACCCATCTCAAAAATTAAGAAAAACACATGAAAATGCCTAATTTTTAATTCTTCTCAAAAGGGTTTTTACCTCTCACATTGTCTTCTAAACCTCTACATGAAAAAAAAAAAAAAAATACTTTGTTATGAAATTTATGAGACTACCTGAATTGGAGATGCTGTTCCCGGTCTTGTTGTAAACATTAGTTGCCAACGACCCTCAATTAAACTAGATCCTGTCTACAGAAATTCAAACAATTAAACAAAACCATAAATATTTCTCCTTTACAACATAATTTGAGCCCATTTCTGCAACAAATACATTAAACCCACAAGAAAAAGAAAAAGAATTAATACTCCAAATATGAACACTTACTGGATCAGGCACGCCTGGTGAATCTTCAAGAACTTTCACTGCATGTTCAACATCCTGCAAAGCTTCTAATTCTATTAAAAATAATCACATAACTTTTGAAAAACAAATAAATAATTAAATAAAACTAATTAAGCTCATGCTGTGAATATATTTTAATATTAAAAATGGATTCTAAAAATTTCATACGTTGAGTTGCTGCGGAGAGGCTGATTTTCCACGGCCTTGGATGCCGATAAGGGCATCGATGAGTTGGTTTTCTTCTTCAGTGAAGGTCAGCTCCTGCTGGCCCACAACTGAAGCTCTCAAAAGAAGAGAAGTTGGGCGAGTTGGAGAGAGTTTGAAGGGCTTTGAAGAGGAAAACTTGTGACTTCTTTGAGTGAATGGAGGTGGACATGCGCTAATATTTGCTGTATGAAATCTAAGCGCCATTGTTGAGTGAGAAGGAGCGAGTCAGTGAGTGAGTGTGAGACAGCGAGTTGAGGTTATGAGTGGTCGACGGTTGGTGACCGTTACTAGTGGTGTTCGAAGGAAGAGAATCTAGAGTGATATCTATAAGTATAACATCTTGAGAGTTCTTACACGTGGAATTGTTTTCTTCTGACACGTGGCTTTCAAGAATTTGTCATAAATAAAAATAATAATATACATACAAATTTCTTGTGCATGCAATATTTATGAAAAAAAACAAGAGAAAATAATTATTTTTTAAGAACATTTTTTTTTTATTAACTGAGCTTACGCGCACTTCACTAATCCTTAGGGGAAGCACTTCTCTAATCGTTAGGGGAAGCTATCTCATGACAACACATCGCAGTAATTTCCTAAGTAAATCATAAATAAATGTACTATTTTTACATTCAACAAGAAATCAAACGTGGAACTATGGTTGAAGCTATGCATAGTCCCTTGGTTAAAGAGATTGTGATTGATCTAAGGGTTATAATTCCATTCTTCTAAGTAACAAATCCATTTGTGAAACGTAATAAATGTCGCAAGTATTTTGATTTAATAATTTTAAAGAAAAAGTAATTTTTTTTTTTTTTTTATAATAAATTCTTTTTCCGTGTTAAAATGATATTTTATATACAATTGGGTCTTAGTGGTAAATGAAAAGAAATATTTACCTATTTATGTTTAATAGCATAAATAATTAATTAAAGTTGTCAAATGAATGATGAACTTATACTATTTAAAATACATATTTGTTTTCCTATTTCTAAAATCCAATCTTATTCTATTAAACTATTTAAACCCCTTAGGTTTATTAATTTAGCTAATCATCTCCTATAATAAAACATTAAAAATTAACAAAAAAACCCCCACCCACTCATTAAATGCTGACAGCTAATCACCACTGTCGGAGGGTGGCCGGAAGTCGCCGTAATAGCACACGATCGGTTGGATTTGACCGGTTATGCGCCGATTTGGCATTTTCCAGCCAAATACACCATAGATCTAGCCGGAAAAGGCCAGATCTATGGCCAAAGATCTGGCCGTTGACTGTCAGATCTTTAGCCACATCAGGTCGTCAACGACAGCCATATCTTGGAGGGTGTTTTTGTTAATTTTTAATGTTTTAATGTAGGGGGTTTTTAGCTAAATTAACAAACTTAGGGAGTGTTTTTGTTAATTTTCAAATCCTATCCTGATAATAACAACTTAACTCAATTTTTTCAAGAATACTACTAAAAATAATAAAACAAACACAGCCTAATTATTTTGTTAACTAAAAGATACGAATGTTTGAGTAATCTTGAAACTTTTTGAGGTATAAATATGTTTTGCTTTGAAAGTGTTGGGATTTTCATTGGTCCGAAAGTAATGGGGTAAAATCTGAACAGTAAAGAAGCCCACAATCTAGGCCCATTAAAAGTTGTGAACCCAAAGCACAATGACGACTACATGAAGCAACCATGGACCATGACTCAGTAATCAAGCCCAGCACCCAGAAACTTGTAGATATCTCATGATATTTTGCGTCTATTTGGGCATGTGTTTTGTCTTGTAAAGTTAGCACCCATTGGTTTCGGAAATATGACAGTAACCTCTATTTTTTGAAAGATTGTTAAAGTTATTATGTTTAAGTTTGACAGAAACGACATTTTTATTATACACCCGTATTCAATTAATCTAACATTCAAAATCTGTCAACAATGTTAAAAGATTAATATATTTTTTTGGAGGTTAAATTGATGAAAATGTAAATAAATTTGAAGGTTGAAATGATGACATCTGTGTAACCAGCGGATACTCACTACAAAAAAGGCCAAACACATGGGGGTTAGGGTTACATTTCCAAAATCAACAGAAGCTCACTACAAATATGGTCAAATACATGGGGGTTAGGGGCGCCATTTCGAAACTAGTAGGTGTTTAAAAAAAGCAAAACACAGGGGGTTTCCTATATAAAAAAAAACCCTATTTTACATGATGAGCTTCTTGTATTAATAATGTCTTCGTATAGTAATGTTAGAAATCTAATGTCCATATATCCTATGCTTGGTATCTTAAAAAGAGAATTTCTAGGCGTGGATCTTTGTATTATTATTATTTTAATTATAAACTCATGTAAGTATTAAAAAAACATTTTTTTTACGGTTTTCAATATAAAAACTTTCAGCTAAAATTTGATCCAAGATAATGCTAATAAACAGTTTATCAAATCATTTAACAAGTTTACATTTTAAAAATGCAAAATTTGTAAAAGAGGCCTGCGACCTAAAACACATTATAATGTGTTTTTGTAAATAATATGCTAAACTTCTTGAAAATATTGTGAAGCCAAAAACGGGGTCGTTTCATTTAAGTTAAGTGAAGGAATCCTGGTCGTCAGATCAAGACAGATCCAAGGGCTGATATTTGCTGATATGGGCTGATATAAAATGAGTAGCAATAATGTGGTGTGCGTCGGGTTTTCAAGTTTGTAATAGTTAGGGTTCTTGTGAATTTAGAGCAATTGTCTAGGGTATTGTTCAGTAGGTTTTCTGGATGTAATCCGAGTAGATTAGAGAAGGTTGCGTTTCCTTCTTGAGGCTAGTTATAGTCCTTTGGTTTTCTTGCAGATTGTAGAAAGTTCTTGAGCGAATGGGCCTAAGTTGAGTGTTGCTCTGTTTCGGTAGACTGTATGGTTTTCTTCGTGTAATTGTTGGATAATTTTTTAGTGCTGTGAGTATCCGTATTTCGGAGCTCAACGTGGACGTAGTCTATCCAATATTGGATAGACGAATCACGATAAATCTTGTCTTGATTGTGTGTGTGCGATTTAGTCTTGAATCTTGATTGTGGTTTGGTTTGTGTTGCGAATTGATTAATTAGGCTTGGCTTTTAACAGTGGTATCGGAGCCAAAGTTCTAAGGTGTATCTAGGTCTAGAAATCGATTAATTCTTGACGAATTCAAAAATTAAGGTTTGTCAGATTTTGGGGTTTTTCGATTTAAAGATTCCTAGATCATTAGGACTTCGAATCTTGCTGAGTCTTGGGATTAATTCGTGAGATTAGGTCACAAACACAAGGGATCGACAAAATTCGTGCAAAATCGAAATTAGGGTTTTGTTAGGATTTGGGGGTTTTTTTTCGAATTAAAGGCTTCTAGAGCTTTAGGGCTTCGAATCGTCCTGAATCTGGTCGAATTGGTTAGTCTGAGTCACAAACACAAGTCACGGAGAGAAATCTTGGTTATTGCCTAGGGGTTGTAGCAGTACTGTTCACTTTCGTCTTATTTGCCAAGTTTAAGGGTATCTCGGCTGGAAACCAGTAACCGCCTTAAAAACTGCCTGGCAGTACTTGGCGACCTCTGGTATAACAACGCCACGTACACCTTAGACTATCCTGCCCTGCCGTTATAGTACAATGAGTGCTACCCGTATAGAGATCTCTTAGTACGATGGGAAGATCGATTTCAACACATGGAAGAATAAGATGAAGGCCCTCCTTTCACATAATAAGGTCGGGCTTGCTCTGGAGAAAGACACCAGCAAGTGGTCTGAAGAGAAACTGAAGAAGAAGGCTAAAGTTCACGAGGAAGCCTATAATCTAATCATAATGAATCTGTCCGACACGGTCCTGCGGAAAGTAGATGGCATGGAAACACCGCTCACACTTTGGGGTAAACTCGAATCCCTCTATTCCTTACGATCTACTCCTAACTTAGCATTTCTTAAAGGAGTTTTATTCTCTTATAAAATGGATGTTAGTAAGTCTGTAGAAGAAAACCTTGATGAGTTTCTTAAGATGACATTAGTGTTGAAAGGTACAGATCAGGAGTTAGGAGATTCTAGTTTAGCGATGATACTATTAAATTCATTGCCTGATGAGTACTTAGTAGTGAAAAATGCTTTACAATACACTGGGATAGTTCCCAGTGTTGACCTAATTATAGCTAGCCTGAAATCTAGGGAATTGGAGTTGAAAATCCAGAAAAGGAATGGAAATAACTTGTTTGTCAAAAGTAGGACAGATCCTGGACAACTAGGAAAGGATAGTAACACGAATTTCCAACAACACATGAACTCTAAGACTAAGAAAAAAGGGAAGAATAACAAGCCTAAGGGAGAAACTAGGAAGTGTTTTCACTGTAATAAACCAAGCCACCTTAAGAAGAACTGCTATGATTGGATAAAGAAACAAAAACAGCACAATACAGAGAGTAATTTAGCTAGCACTAGCACTAACATTGAAATTTCAGAAGCCCTCACTGTTTAAAACCAAGCTAGCAGTAAGGAATGGGTTCTAGATTTAGGATGCATCTTTCACATGAGCCCAAATATCCAATGGTTTCAGAACCTTAGGAAAGGAGAGTTATAAACTGTTTTCATGGGTAATAATCACTCTTGTAAGGTTCAAGTATAGGAAACATAACCATTAGGTTAAATAATGGTAAAGTCATAATGTTAACCAGAGTAAGGTATATACCTGACCTTAAACGAAACCTGATTTCCTTATGAACATTGGATGAAGCTGGATATAGTTATAAGACAGAAAGAGGGTCCATAGTTGTGTATAAAAACAATGAATTTTTGCTTGAAAGGGTCAAACAAAATGGGTTGTACATTCTGTGTGGTCAACATTGTGCATTTACTGTTAATTCTACTTTATTATCTACTACCTTGACTGCTATAGAGAAATGACATTTGAGACTTGGCCACATAGGCCAAAAAGGCATGACAATGTTAAGCCAGCAAGACTATTTTGGTAAGGAATCCATATCTGAATTAAATTTCTGTGAAGTTTGTGTGTTGGGAAAACAACACAGAATGAGTTTCCAAAAGGGAACTCATCTGGCTGAAAAAGAGTTAGATTATGTGCATTCAGACCTTTAGGGTTCTGAAAGAGTTAGGACACATGGAGGGAATAGCTATTTCCTCTCCATAGTGGATGATTATAGCAGGAAGGTATGGGTGTACCTTCTTAGGTCCAAGGATGAAGCCTTAACTAAGTTTAAAGGCTGGAAAAACCTGGTTGAAAACCAAGTTAATAGGAAGGTCAAAACCTTTAGGCAGACAACGACTTAGAATTCTGTAACTTGGAGTTTGACTCTTACTGTGTAGAAGAGGGAATTTTGAGGCATAGGACAGTTAGGGGAACCCCTCAGTAGAATGGGGTTGCTGAGAGAATGAATAGAACCCTTCTAGAGAGGGTTAGATGTCTCTTATTCACAGCTGGTCTACCAAAAACCTTTTGGGGGGAAGCACTAGGTACAACAGCCTATGTAATAAATAGAAGTCCTTCTAGCTCAATAGACTTTAAGTACCCTGAAGAGAGGTGGTCTGGGAGGAGACCATCTCTTGAACACCTAATAGTCTTTGGATGTGCTGCATATGCACATACCAGAGATGGAAAGTTAGAGCTAAGATCTCTTAAGTGTGTTTTTTTATGATATCAAGAGGGAACTAAGGATTATAGGCTGTGGGAAAGGGCTGCCCCAAGGGCTAGGGTAATTGTTAGTAGGGATGTGATTTTCAATGAAACTGTTTTTCCTTGCAAATCTGATACTAACAGTGCAAGTAGCTCACAAAAAGATTCTGAAAATTATGGACAAACTGGGACAACTCAGTTTGAGGTGGAGCCTGCAATAAATCCTGACCATTACATCCAAACAGATGAGACTGATCCACTTGAAGACCAGCCACAGCAAACTCAAGAGCAGGAGGATGAAGATGACCCTCCTGACAATGCTGAAGTGGATCAGCATGGTAATCTGGCCCAATACCAATTAGCCAAAGGCAGAGTTAGGAGGGAGATTAGACCTCCTGCAAGGTACAGCTATGCTGACCTGATCTATACAGCACTCCTGGCTGGTTCAGAAGTACATCAATCAGAACCTAACACTTATGATGAGGCAATGAGATCAAGGGACAGAAAAGAATGGGTGGCTACTATGGAAGAGGAGATGGAGTCACTGCACTCAAACAACACATGGACACTAGTTCCAAAGCCAAAGAATCATAAGTTAGTGGAATGTAGATGGCTGTATAAACTGAAAGAATGGATAAATGAATCTGATCCACCAAGATTCAAAGTAAGGTTAGTGGCTAAGGGCTACACTCAGAGGGCAGGTATTGATTTCACTGAAATATTTTCTCCAGTAGTTAAATTTAAAACTATTAAAATCATGCTATCAATTGTTGTTCAATATGACTTAGAGATAGAACAATTGGATGTTAAAACTGCTTTCTTGCATGGTGAGTTGGATGAAAAAATATTCATGAATCAACCCATAGGTTTTAAGGATAAAAGACTGTCTGATCATGTATGCTTACTGAATAAATCTTTGTATGGACTTAAACAGTCCCCTAGGCAATGGTATAAGAGGTTTGATGCATTCATAATAGGAAATGGATTCACTAGAAGCATGTATGACAAATGTTTCTATTTTGCCTGTATGGATAACATGCCAATCTATCTTTTGTTATATGTAGATGACATGTTACTAATTAGTAAGTCCATGTCTCAAATTAATGCTTTAAAGGCCAAATTAAATACTGAATTTGACATGAAGGACTTAGGGAAAGCAAAGAAAATCCTAGGAATGATGATTGATAGAGATAGAAGTGCAAATAGCCTTAAACTCCATCAATCCTCATACTTATAGAAACTGGTATCAAAATTTGGTATGGCTGAATCCAAAGTAGTGACAATGCCCTTAGCAAACCATTTCATACTTAGTAAGTCACAATCCCTAAAAAAAGATTCGGATAGGCTGAAAATGGAGAATGTCCCTTATTCTAATGCCATAGGTTCTGTAATGTATTCCATGATATCCACCAGACCTGATTTAGCATATGTAATATCTCTACTGAGTAGATTCATGTCAAATCCTGGAAATGAACATTGGAATGCTTTAAAATGGTTGTTGAGATACATTAATGGCACTGTTCAGATTGGTTTAATTTTCTGTAAAAGATATGCATCACTTGATCTGGTTGGGTATGTAGATGCAGATTTTGCAAGTGATCGAGACTCTAGGAAGTCCACAATTGCTTATTACTTTACATTGGGAGGCAACTGTGTTAGCTGGAAAGCACAGTTGCAACCACCGGTTGCACTTTCCACTACTGAAGCAGAGTACATGGCAGTTTCAGATGCATTCAAGGAAGCAACATGGTTGCAAGGAATTCTGAAAGAAGCAGATCTGTTGAATGGCACAACAACAGTTTACTCCGACAGTCAGAGTGCCATCCACCTGAGTAAGAACCCGGTGTATCACGAACGAACAAAACATGTGGATGTCAGGCATCACTTCGTTAGAGACCTGATTGCAAAAGGAGACATGGGAACCAAAGTAGTGACCACTGCCAAGTTCAAGCACTGCTTGAACCTACTTCACATCAGATAGACATTTTTCCTAGAGTTGAGAAGAAATATGGGATAGCTTACTGCACTAAAAAGAAGTCCAGCAATGAAAAAGAAGAAAAGAAAATAAATGGAAGGAAGAGAGTTGGCTTCAAGGTGGAGACTGAAAATATTGTGAAGCCAAAAACGGGGTCGTTTCATTTAAGTTAAGTGAAGGAATCCTGGTCGTCAGATCAAGACAGATCCAAGGGCTGATATTTGCTGATATGGGCTGATATAAAATGAGTAGCAACAGTGTGGTGTGCGTCGGGTTTTCAAGTCTGTAATAGTTAGGGTTCTTGAGAATTTAGAGCAATTGTCTTGGGTATTGTTCAGTAGGCTTTCTGGGTGTAATCTGGGTAGATTAGAGAAGGTTGTGTTTCCTTCTTGAGGCTAGTTTTAGTCCTCTGGTTTTCTTGCAGATTGTAGAAAGCTCTTAAGCGAATAAGCCTAAGTTGAGTGTTGCTCTGTTTCGGTAGATTGTATGGTTTTCTTCGTGTAATTGTTGGATAATCTTTTAGTGCTGTGAGTATTCGTATTTCGGAGCTCAACGTGGACGTAGTCTATCTAATATTGGATAGACGAACCACGATAAATCTTGTCTTGATTGTGTGTGTGTGATTTAGTCTTGAATCTTGATTGTGGTTTGGTTTGTGTTGCGAATTGATTAATTAGGCTTGGGTTTTAACACGTCTTGCATTTGGTACCTCAAACACAGAGAAAAATTCTCACATGTATACGTTTGAACTTTTTTAAAATTTGAAACTCCATTACAGAGTGTTAATAATACAATTTTGATCGATAAGCACAAATTTAATTTAATTTAATTTTTTATTTTATATCGATATTGATAAACTTACGACACCGTTTAACAAAGATCGTATTTTATAAAGAAAAATGTAAACGTTACAATCGAAATGACACAAAACATATCTCAATAATAAATTTAAAGACAACTTGTTAACATAATGCCTCTTTACACAACAATCACTTCCGATCGATCTCCAAGTCAAATCTTCACAACCTTATCATGCAACTGCATGTTGGACACTAAATAGTATCTTAATATAAGCTTACTTTAGTCACTTTCAATGAAGAAACATTTGACCGATGATCAGCTTCAAATCAACGGCAAAAAATCAACCTGCTCCCATAATATCTTAGTTATACTCCAATTGTTAATACTGCCAACAATAATTTAATTGAATCAATGCATGCATGTGCAGAAGTGGTAGCAAAAAGGCTTTAGGTTTCTTCTAATCTTAATTAATTTAGTGCTTCACTAGTTTTTAGTGAGTTTAATTGCATGGACTGCATAATTTATAAGCACTTCTGATAACTATCAACCCACAAAACCTACCAGTTTATCAGCTAATCTGTCATTTTTCTGATAATTTAATTCATCGGTTTAGGTTTTTGAGCACAAACCCTACCTGTGCAGCCGCCATACATCATCTCCACTTAGGCTTAAAAGCATGAACACGTGTGTTAATATTCATGCAACAATGGAATATAAAATGCTGAAAATCACAACTAAATTTGCTTATAAATAACAGTACTTCCAAGAGTTTTGCAATAAGCATATTACAGAATTAGAGTTTATCAAATTTTTCTTGTTTTAATTAGAAACAATGCATAGGTCAAGGAACATGAAGGGTTTGATTCACTTAATGATTCTCTTTATGTTGTGTTTGGCTGTCAGGCCTCAGTTAACTACTGATTTCTATTCGAAATCTTGTCCCAATCTTCTTCAAATTGTGAGGAAGGAAGTTATGAAAGCTGTAAAGGCTGAAACGAGAATGGCAGCCTCTCTGCTTCGACTTCACTTCCATGATTGCTTTGTGAATGTGAGTTCATGTTTAAACTTTAATTAGACTTATCCGTTTACATAAATGTGTGCATGTTGAAACTCTAGCGACATATTATTGCTATATATCATGAGTTTGCATTTCTTTTGTTTTTGTTTTTGTTTTTTTTTTGTTAAACTTCTTTATAGCAATTATAAATATCATTGATCAATCATGAGGTTTTAAGTAAACATTTGTGACATTTATATTGTTCATGACTGATTAGTTGTACATATAACCGTTATAAGAAAGATTATCTCATTTTAAGTCATGAAAGTATATAAATATTTATCAATTAGTTGTAATGAGATACTTTTTGATAATTTTCCAATGCTTTTCTTGTGTCGGAAGACATCATATTTACTATAGTGAAAGTTGGTTATAGACAAGTTTATCCGTGTTCAGACCATTTACGCTTTTCTTGCGTCGGAAGATATCATATTGTCAATAGATTGATTATATGTATATATTTTTTTAAAATATGTGTGAATATCTTAACGAATTTTTAGAATATATGTATATATAATTTGGTACTCTATATATTCATGAACAATCTTTCCATTTCTTATTTGTCAAAAGCTTGCATGCAAAAAGAATATTCCATTTTCAAAAGTACTAATATGGTTACTAGAATTATTGTTTATTCAAAAGCCCTTTTGAGTTAAATTAATAAAATCATGAGTGGGGGTGGGTAAGAGCTCTTATGCAACTACACTCTTAATTATTATTATCATATTTTAGAATAAACTTTTCTAATTATTAATTAAGCATATCATTAGGTAATTATTAATATAAAAAAGACAAACACTAGTTAATTAATTAATCATTTTATTCTTCACAGGGTTGTGATGCATCAATTCTGTTGGATGTAAGTGATACTGAGAAGTTATCAGGTGCTAATAATAATTCAGCAAGAGGATACGAAGTTATCGACTCCATAAAAGCTGCTGTGGAGACTCAATGCAGTGGAGTTGTCTCATGTGCTGATATATTAACCATAGCTGCAAGAGATTCCGTCCTCCTGGTAAGTTTTTAATTTTGATGTAAAACAGTGAATAATATTATATTTATAAAATTGAGATCCGAACTGACAAAATTGTTGATATAACAGTACAACACAAATCATAAATTTTACGTAAAAAATAATTAATATAATGTTCATACATCTGTATTATATAAGTTAAGATGAGACGCGAGGTTATTGTGATTAATTAATTAAAACATTATAGTAGTGGAATTAAACTATTGTTTTGCAGAGTGGCGGACCTACTTGGAAAGTTGCACTGGGAAGAAGGGATGGATTTGTGGCAAACCTGTCAGCATCAAATAATCTTCCTTCTCCATTTGAAGGAATAAATGAGATCTCTAAAAAGTTTTCTGATGTGGGTCTAAACATCTCTGATGTGGTTGCCCTTTCAGGTATATATATCTGTGCTTTTATCTCAGTCTCAATTAATTAATTATATGCTCAGAATTATAATTGAATTACACGAAGTTGCTCCATGGATGTTCGTTTTGAGAAATAGTTGAAAAAATAGTTGTCTCATCATCATGGCATAATCAACAGCTTCTCATTCTCCCCCAAATTTCTTGAAATTATATTCAAAATCAGAGAATTTAAATGGCATGAGATATAGATATCATATTTGACACAAAATCCCTCATACTTGATGCAAAATCGACAATATCATTAATAACATGTAATTTTAAGTGATGTGTGTTCTTATGTAGTGTTAATATGTAAGTAAATGGATGATCTGATAGATCATACGTCGCTACTAAAAAGGATGACACGTTATATGTAATGAATTTTTTTAGAGACATTTTGGGACATGTGACATTACTTTCTTGATTTATACTAATCTCAACTCTATTATTCTCTAATTATCTTTTTTCTATTCTCATATTCAGGTGCTCATACAATTGGTTTAGCCAAGTGTTCACTCTTCAGCAATAGACTGTTTGGCACTCCAGACCCAACAATGGATGCAGAAATGCTTGCTGATTTGCAAAATTTCTGCCCACAAAATGGCGATGGAAACAAGATGACTGTTCTTGATCGAAACTCCAGTGATTTATTTGACAACCATTATTTCAATAACTTGGTCAACAACAAGGGTCTTCTTCATTCGGATCAAGTTTTGTATTCAAGCTCTGAGGCTCAGTCCACCACCAAAAGTATTGTTGAAAGCTACAGCAATAATCCCCGCATTTTCTTCTCTGACTTTGCCAATTCTATGATCAGAATGGGGAATATTAATCCTCTTACTGGCACCAATGGTGAGATTCGGAAGAATTGCAGGGCGGTTAATTCTTAAAATTGTGTGCTAGATGAACCAGGAAATTATAAATAAGGATTAGAATTCTCTGTTTATCTGAGTTTTTACTGAACAAAATACGAGATTATTATAGGTGGTTAAAAAAAAAATAAAGAAATAAAATAATAGACATATCTCATTAGATTTTTAAAAGTTAGGAAGAATTCAGATTAAGAGAGTATCCTAATTCTTAATAAAATAATGTAACAAAGTGTGGAGTTATGTTTAATATTAAAGTTGTATGATGAATATTAAATTTGCTTATGTGTCAAAGAGTGGAGTTAATTATAATATTTGTATACTGAAATTCAGTGCTATACTATATACGATAGTTTTTTGCAATTATTCCTAAATTGAGATACCACGATAATCACAATTTAATTATATCTTAAAACATAATTTCTTCTAAGAAGAACATTAATGCTATATATGTAAATTGATCGTATAAATTATTTTAATTTTAAAATTTTCATTCACATTATAAGTTATAACACGTAAGTTTATAATCGTATAAAATAATTTATATAAATATTTTAATAATTATTAACGAAGGCGGTGGATACAATGTTTCTGCTTCCCAGAAAAGCAGATTTGGAGAAGATCCCACATGATAAATGAAAGAAATTGGAAGAATATATTATTCAATATTTGACCACCAATAAAGACGTAAATTTTGGAATGGAAAGCCATTAATTTTGCCGTACTTGGATTTGGATATACATTACTTGTTTTTTGAAAGCAATGACTTTGACGTCAAAAATTAATTGGGATTATTATATTTGGATTTGTACCCAGAAGAAGCACATTAAAATTAAGTTTGAAGTTTGAATATTATACCACTCTTTCATCTCACATCATTATAATTATTATTCAATGTAAATAACAATAACAAGCAACCAAATCCAATTTCTTAAGTGTATTTGTATTCGATCGAAACATATTTTATAAAAATATTTCAAACCGAATAAACTTGTAATAGCAATAATTAATTATGCCAATGCACAAATATTAATAATTAATTAAGTAGGCTACTGAATATTGTAAATATGGAATATTGACTATGGATATATACAAATATATAATCAAGATACATGTGATTTGTGTAGAACATGAATCTTTTCTCCCTTTTATATTATATTATAAATGGTCAATTTCAGAAATCCATCTGTGATTCATGATCCTACCGCGATATGATTTACCCAAATTTTTTATCTAGTTATAGTCAATACTTCTTATAAGCACAGAATAGTCAGCACCGCACCAAGTTGATTTTTTATTTTTTTTTCCTCTTTTTATTCGGTTCGAATTGTTTTAATACATAAAATGTTATATTATACCAAACTTTACAATAAATAAGTGAACTATCCAATTATAAAGTTTTGTCAAATTTTTATTTTTGAAAAATTATTTTACTAAAAGAAAAAAACTCTCTCTCTCTCTCTCTCTCTCTCTCTCTCTCTATATATATATATATATTCTTAAAAGTTAACTCATATATAAATAAGTTGATTAAATGTGAATTTTAGTTCATATATATGTATATATATAATAATAATAATAAAGTCTTCCAAAATGTTTCAATATGTTGTCATAATAATTTGTCTTTTTTCCTGCTAAAATTTTAGAACCTTTTGTTTTAATATTAGGAAAATAATACAGCCACCGACAGTAGTGCACCAAATTTATGCACCAAATGACGTGATAAAATCCTGACCATTGATTAATTTTAAACTTAAAATTAATCAATGGTCAGGATTTTGTCACATCATTTGATGCATAAATTCGGTATACTACCGTCGATGACGTTAGCATTATTCTTAATATTATATATTTATAACAGAATGAGACATTTTGAGTTTTTTTTTTTTTAAATAAGCTGGATGTCTATTCATGATGATCGATCTATATATATAAGCGTGATAAGGACTTTGATGTTCATAAATATATATCTTAAAAGGAATTGCATGGAGGTATATAATACAGTTAAAATCTTTCAGTATATTTTAATATTTATGTAACATTTAAAAATTATTTTCAGACTAAAAATTATAAAAAATCATGGAAACGGCTTTTAATGGTTTTTTAAATTCACACTAGTTTTTATGATTATATTCGAAAATTGTTTTCAAAAACATTTATACTCCTTTCTATTAAACACATTTTCATAAAATTTATTATATCATTTGTTTTAAAAAAAAACAAAAAACAGTATTGAAATTCTACATAAAATGAGTTATTTATTATTTCTTTAATTTTTACAGTAAGATTCCGTTTTCAGCATCCTTAATTAGCTCCTTATAGCCTCCTAATTTGACTGAATATCCGTGTCTAGAATTTTTTTTGCATCTGCTTATAAAGTTAGATATTAATTTCGTCTTTCAATTTATTTTTTTTTTTTTAATGATTGGGGTGTTTGAGACAGCTTACATGCACCTCAACTAATTTCTGAGGCCATTAAACATCTTACAAACCTAATGTTCCAAGATAAGCCACAAATGTAATAGTCACAATTAATCTCTGAGGCCTAAACCCTAAACCCTAAACCCTAAGGTAATTCGAACAAAAAAAAGTTATCGAAGGAAATAAACTAACTTTCTTAACCATCGGGTTAACCCCTTGGTTGTCCTTCAATTTGGGAGATACAATCTAATTTATATACTTAATGATAAACTTATATCTTCCTAAGTGACATTAACATATAAACAAGAAGTTAATAGGTTATGCAATACGGTTTTTTTTTTTTTTTTTATATATATATATATATATAAATGACATTTTATTTGAGATTGGAAAATTTTTAGGATATAATTTAGGATGTATTATGGATATAAAATTCCCTCAACGGTCTAAGCAAATAATACATTGTCCCACGTGTATCAAGTACAAAGCTCACGATATCTTCTTGTTTGTGTTTGTCACTAAATTCGGAAACAGAGAACGTGGTTTTGTTTGACTAATTACCGAGGCCATGGGAGAGGTGATGTGATGTTCGGTTTTGCTTTTAAATTCCTGATTACAACCACACCAAATTAGTCTTTGGAGGATGAGACTTCTTAAAAGCATATTCTAATCTAGGCTTATCTTAAGGTAGAAACGGTACTACAATAATATTTCAAAGAAAGTTTAATTAATTTCATAGTGGCTTAACTTCTTAATCCTGAAATGGAAATTTAATTATTTTATTACTCAAGAAAACTTAAAACTGGTGGCAACACTTCTTGCCAACAATACATAGAAACACTTGAACATCTCATAATAACATACACTTAAAATATCCATCCAGCTAAATTAATTAATTAACCCTTCTGCAGTTGGTTCTAATTTGACCATTGGTGCCTGTCAAAGGGCTTATATTTCCCATCTTGATCATGGACGCACCAAAAGCATTGAAGAAGGCAGATTGGCTACTGGCATACTGGTTCACGATGGCCACCGTGGCAGCACCGGAAGTCGAGAACAATTCCTGATCGGTTTGGAGAAGGCCACGGTTGTTTTGGAGATTAACGTAGTAATTGTTGTCAAAGGCATCGGGAGTTGTTACATCAAGATTGTTTAAATTTTGATCAGAGGATTGACAATTTTGTTGAAGAGTTTGTAAATATGTGGCATCGAGTGTTGGGTCCGGGTTGCTTGCATTTATACGTTGATTGAATGAGACACAACGAGCTCGCCCAAATGTGTGTGCACCTGAGAAATAGCCATTTCCACAAAGAATTAATTAAAAAAAAAATAGATTTCGAAAATACTTATACACAAAAATTTTTAGCGTGCATGAAAAATCTCAGATTACGTACATTTGAATGTTTTGATAAACTGCAAATGAGAGTTTTAGGGTTTTTAATATGAGAAAGTTTGATTGATGGGAACTGTAAATAATAAAATTGGAATTTTTTAATATTTGTTTTTAAGCTATCATATAATTATATAAAAAAAAAAAAAAATACAATTTTCGATGCTTCCCCTTTGTCAGGATTAGGCATTTATTTATTAATTTTTTTAATATGAAACTTTAGTCATTATTGTAAGTAAATAGTGAAAATACAGTATTTCACAATTCCCAATACATAAAAACTTGATTAAATTTTTGTCTTTTAATGCCGACATCAACTAATCAATATCCGAATTTTAAAATGTACAAGAACAGTGGATAAAAATGTACAATTGGTGTTAAATATTCTTTTTCTTTTGTTTAGTTTTTAGAATTGGTCAACATGGGAAGTCAGCTTCATAATGAATTTAAAAAAATATATATATACCAGATAAAGCGACTAGATCAGTTGTGTCAAGTCCTTGATCTGTGAACTTCTGTGTAATATTAGATAGACTTTCAGTGGGACCTGGAATGGCACTAGTTCCAGCTCTATTTGCGGTTGTGCTATCTCTTCTTCCTAGTTGCACTTCCCATGATTGACCTCCATCCTGCAAATCAACCCCAAGAGGCCAAGGTTAATATTCGTTTTAATTAAATACTCAGAAAGCTAGCCAGAGGAAGAAGATGAAAAAAATAAAGTACCAAAACGACTAAAATTTCAGAGGCAAGAGCCAGAATATCAGCACAAGAGACAACTCCTGGGCAAACATTTTCAAGTGCAGTTTTAACGTCATCAATCACTGCAAAACCATCTGTTGAATTGTTTGGTATTGCATTTTTCTCGCTATCTATGCCGGTTGCATCGTCTAACAAAAGCGAAGCGTCGCAGCCCTTCATAAAAAAAGAAAAAAAATAGGGGATGAATAAAACACGTTCATAAGTACATAATCATATTTATAAATGCAGGATAAAGTTCATTATGTTCCTGTTATACTTTTTTTTTTTTACTAAAATCTTTCTCGTATTGTCAAGGATTTGCAAAGGAAAAGAAAGAAATTAAAAGAAATAGTTACGTTGACAAAGCAATCGTGGAAGTGAAGACGGATAATTTTGGCACCAAGTCGGACGTCACTGTTCCGAGCTGGCTCTAAAACACCACTAACAATGCTTGTTAGATTAGGGCATGTGGTATCATAAAAGGTAGAGCTCAATTGAGCCCTAGAAGCCCCAAAGATGGTAGCAAGAGCGAGAAAAATGGTTGAAATATGAAAAAGAGACATTTTTTTTTTAAATTAAGAGAATAATAAGTAGAACTCCTAAGGGTTTTACTTAAAACACAAGATGCTACTTGCTTTTGTGAGAACTAAGTATGATGAGCCCTTTATATAGAGATATCAAGTTGAAGGGTGCTATACTTTTCTTCTCTAATTTTTTAATTAGTGCGTACAATTATTTAATGCAAAACGAACGTTATTTGATTGGTGAAGCAACACCATGTCTCTTGTGATTTAAGAAAGGACTTTTCAAAACAACCTCACGTGCTGCTCTTGATTTGTTAAGTGTCAAGTAAGAACAAATTATAATTTACCCAAGAGAAAAAATTAATCTGATTAAGTTTATGAATTTGTTGTCCATAACTCTTTAGAAAACATACAAAAATTTGCGTCTAATTGTTATATATCTATATCTATATATAAAATTAATTAATTATGTCAAAGAGTAAAACTTTTTATGACATTTAATTTTCTGGGTGATAGTTAATTAGTTTACTTAATTAATGTGTGTCGACCACACGTAAACACCATATTATTATAATTTATATATATAAATCAATTAGTAATTGTTGGGGAATCATAGAGCAAACATCTTAATTTCAACACTACGGATTTGTTTGCTTAGTCAAAATATTGCTGTCTTGGTCCGAATCCAATCATGGTTCAAGTAATTTTCTATAACGCTAGCTGGAATTTTCTGTCTTCTAATTTTGTTATGAGTATATATGAGTTGTAGTCAAATTAGGTGGCATCAAATTATGGATTTTATATATGAAAGATCAAACACCTATTATGGAAGAAAAAAAATTGTACCGCACCTGCAATATAGCTGTTATGATCATTCACTTGACTATTACTTGAGAGTTTTGAATTTTGTTCATGTATGGAGGGTAAGATGAGATAGTTAAATTTAAAAAAAAAAAAAAAAAAAAAAAGTGCATATATATATATTTGAATCTCTAATGTGAACACCGATATTCAAAATTTTAAAGTGTGGATCAAAGGTAAGTGTTTGATCATGAAGTTTATAAACTTTAAAATCAAATCCAATGATCCGACACCCATCTTCAATCCATATATATATTTGAATCTTTATTGCGAACATCGATCTTCAAATTTTTAAAGTGCGGATCAAAGGTAAGTGTTTGATCACTAAGTTAATAAACTTTAAAATCAAATCCAATAACCCGACACTCATCTTGAGTCCATATATATATTAAAAAATTATTTTAGTGTTATTTTACCTCAATTAATTTTGTTGCTTTGCTGAAGAATTTTCTCTTTCATTTTTATTTGTTTTTTATAAAGCAACCGGCCTTGATTAGCGTAACGAAATTTCTAAATTGCTGTGTGGTCAACTAATTTTGGGATGCTTTGGATAAAATTAATTAATAAGAAGCTAGTATCAATATTGTTAATTATATTTACCTTGGAAAGTTTTGACTTTTCTCACAATTGAAAGCGATAATTTCCTTGTAGTGGGAGACATTTCATGCATGCATGTAATTTGAAAGCAACGACTTAATAGTTTTATATTTTTAAAGGAAATTGTTATCTAACTATAACTTTAATCGTGACTGTAGTTAATTTATTAGTGAACTCTAAGACTGATTTATTGATGAAGCCAATATAATAGACTGGGGTCATAAAAAAATGTCTAGTAAACGCGTTATGGCATCTTAATTAATTAATTCAATAATTAAATCTAAGAATGACTTTCAACTCATGAGTTAGTTAATTACTAAATCGTCTAATGATTTTGATTAATTATTCTTATGATTAGTTTAATAGATGAAATTTTGTTAACATTATTTTAGAACGTCCTTGCAAGTGCTTTTAAAAGCATTTTTTATAAAATGACTCTCAAAAGATAAAACTGGTATCAGTGATACCCCTTTATTTTTTTTTTCATCATTGGATGTGTCCGGGCCAACCTACATCTCATTTAATCCTTCGAGACTCTAAAATTATCGACTATATAAGAGCTTTATTAACCACCCTTATTAGTGCGTGGGAGGACTCGAACTCAAAAACTTATGAAATCTCCTCTTACTCTTGTACCATCAAGTTACCCAGTGGTAGTTAGTGCCTTTCTATTTTAACTTTTTTATGTTGTTTTTATTGTTGGAGTGATAAAATAGTAATTTCGGTCTTATAAGAAAGTGTTTTAAAAGTCCTTTTACAGAAATGTCATTTTTGAGACTCCAACCTTGGATGAATACAATGAATGAATATTCCAGAACCATATTTCTAAGGAGTAATAGGATAATTTACTCCAATAATCCTAACAACGATGTAACAAAGTTAGGGCAAAAGAGTATCAATAACAATTAACAAATGTTCAAGCTTCCAAGGTTCATTTGATAATATATTATTAAAAAACCATTATAATTTCGTTTCATAAGTTAAAACAATAATATGTGTAATTAGATAATAAGTTAAAACAACTACATTTTTAATTAAATAGTATTTCCCTCTAATAATCCTAAGAAAATAAGAAAAACTTAATTTTGTCTTCATTACAGGATGTTTCATTCGCTAAAACCTTCCAGACCCAGCACGTCTAATAAAAAAAAGTAAGGTGCCAATAACTTTTCATTGTGACATAGGATGGTCTTCTATTGTTTGTACACAAAATAACAAAAATGGTTCACCATCATTGAAAATGGATCAAAATAAGGCCAAGGTAGACCCAATTTGCTTAACTGAATGACATAATTTTCAACATAACTCAACAAATTTTCTTTTGTATTCTCACTTTTCATCACATTAGGGTACCACATAAGTATCAATCATAAGATTAATTTTCAAACAAGTCGGCCTGTTTTTGGCTCAAGGCGACTTGTATAGTATATTTTAAACTCAAAAAACATCCATCAATAAGCTAATTTCTTTTGTCTATATTATCATTTTTGTCAGCACATGCAGTGATTATTTTTTCGACCTTCCATCTTCTTCTAAATTCTTACAATAATATCTTCATACTAAATGACTCATTTTTTTTTTCTTGACTAATTTGTATTAAATCATGGGGGAACAAAGATTCACTCAAATTATTATCACTTATACCTTCAATTTTACATTATTTTATTGTTATTTTAGAATTTTTTGGTTAAGGAATTTAGCAATCAATATTCAATAATAGATGTCAAAAATCAGGCAACAGTCTTCTTCGGCTCAGGAGTGGTTGTAAATTTGTAATTTTTAAAAAAAAAAAAAAAATCAGATTAACAAATCAATGCTTAATTAAATAAAAGCAAATTAAGTATATAATTTAATTAAAAGTTTATGAGAAAGATCGATTGTTTTGAACACAATTTTAACAATTAGTGTGAGTAGTATTGTTATGTATATACAATTTTATTTTGTGGGATTATATGAAAAAATTTAGGTACATGTGGTCCAAATGTTGTGTACAATGTGTCCAATTAATAAATATAGAAGAATATTATCTCTTTGATTAATATATAGTTATCTTGTATATACAAAAGTTTGACACGCTATATATTTTATTTGAGTTCAAACTCAGCACCTAGTTGAACCAATTAATTTAATAAAATTAATCTTCACTTTAATTGACATATATCGAAAGTGAGATATTAAAGATGTTAAGCTGAACTTATTAAGAGATAAACTCACTGCCAATCATTGATCAATTAAAGAAAATAAAATTCTTAGAGATATTCTAAGGTTTATGCTTTATAAAACCTTTATAATATGCTTAGGATCTTAATCAGAAAATTTTATAATTAATTTTACTGGTATTTTCAAACATAATAGAAATTAGCTGGTTGATGTTGATTTACTTTATTTAAATTGTCTATATGAGAATAAATTGAGATTTCAAATTAATAACAAGTAAATCAAGTTGAGAATTTGACAATCAGTAAACGTGCTACAGAAGATAGTCTAACATGTAATGTCTGCTACAGTAACCTATTTTATGACATATCCTAAATTTTTATATTATGTTTATTTTACAAATTACAACAAACGTATGCATGTTATGAAAATTGTATATTTTATCTCTTATATATATTTGTTTTAAACAATTATTTGGATAGAATTATACCTTGATTTTAATTTTGCTAAACTATGATTGCCATGCAAAAACATGGACGACCTGGCAGTATTTAATCACGTAAATGCGATCAAATATTAAGTTTGTGAAAGATTTGGTACTTAATTAGAAAATACCAAATTGTCACAATCTGTCTCCCCAAACATTAATGAATGAATGAAATCTCCACATTAACTACGCTAAACAAGTGGTTAGATAAATAAATTTCTCTAGAAATAAAAGCACGAATAGTCAATTTAGGACGCCAAGAATTAATTAGGTACTTTTCACATGTTCATAAATCAAGCAAATTTGGACTCATTAAGCTTCTTTTGATCTTATGAGTAATGTACTTTTCTACAATAGGACTTGGGCTAATTTTATGTTTGAAATATATTATTATTTTTTTATATTTGATTTTGACACCAACGATTCGCACGTGTAAAATGTTAAGTTGGTTTAGAAATTACACGTGAATAGAAAATGCAATGAAGTAAATGGAAGATGATTTTTAAAATGGTTCGGATGCTTAAAGCAAATCATACGTTCACTGTTCTTTTATCATTCTCTGACTATCTCTATGATATTACTCGTAAGACATACAAAGATGGAGAAATATTTTGTCTATAGAGAAAAATAATGAAGCTCAGATCCATGCCCAACTCTCATCTGTCTAATCTCCCCTTTTCGTGAAGAGATGTGCCCATTTATACTTTTAAGGTCAATGTAATGAGTACTTTTGCAAGTTCTCATGACACATAGGGATCACTCCTTAATCCTTATCTTAAAATAAGATATGATTGATATAAAATATCTCTTGAAGGCGCTTTGGGTTGATGACAGCTAATACCACCTTATCTTTTGGGGTGACATGGTAGCTCCTGGACGGCACAAAACCTTCATGAACTCTGATTGGTAGTGCTTGTTGGAGTCCCACACTGACTAAGTACGCTCAAGCCTATTGGTTTATAAGAGGGGATAATCTTCCACATCGACTAGACACGCTCA